GTGTGATAGACTTCTCTTCCAAGAGGTTTAAAGGCAATGCTATGGTGTGAATGTGGAGTATATACTGCTATATGCTGATTGTCACTGAGACAGCAGGGTGGGTTTTAAACTGAAGGATTTGGAGTGTAGAATACAAAATAAAATTTTCATGCCATTGCAATCAATTGTGGATTGTGCTAGGCCAATTGGAACTTCAACAAATGCTCTTTAGCTGCCTTCCGTGATGTGAGTCATAAAGCCAGTCCAGTCAACAGTGACTATAGCTATGAGGAATCCTTTTGCATCCCCGTATGGATACACAGTCCATTCTGTTTTCTTTAAGTGCCTGTACACCAATGTATGGAGCATAGGAAATAAACAGGAAGAACCAGAGACCTGAAAGGGGCCAACAGGAAAGCTGGGGAGGGACAACAGGGATGAGAGGAAATGGTTTTAAACTGGAAGAGGGTAGATTTAGACTAGATATTAGGAAGAAATTCTTTCCTGTGAGGGTGGTGGAAGAGGTTTCCCAGTGAGATTGTGAATGCTCCCTCCTTCACCCCCCCCAGAAGCATTCAAGGCCTGGCTGGATATGGCTTTGAGCTACCTGGTCTAGAGGGAGATGTTCCTGCCTATAGCAGGGAGGCTGGAACTAGATGATCTTAACAGTCCCTTCCAACTCAAACTATTCTATGATCTCTGTGCAGTCAAAGATGTTGTCAGACAGCTTGCATGACCAGAGTGCTATCATAGATGGTTATGCGTTCTTTAGGAAAGACAGACCAGCGAGGCAGGGTGATGGACTTGTTCTTTATGTGAGAGAACAACTGAAACTTATTGAGCTCTGCCGAGGGCTAAATATAAAATGAGTAGAGAGTTTGTGAGTGAGAAGTAAGGGTGACACTACTGTGGGTGTTTACTACAGGCCACCTGATCAACTGAGGCAACTTTCAGCTGTTGCAGACAGCTGAAAGTAGCCTCGTGATCCGAGGCACTCATTCTTGTGGACTCTTGTTGGAAAAAACAGCACTCTTAGGCACTCACAATCCAAGAGGTATCTGCAATGCATTGAGGGTAACTTTCTGATGCCAGTGGCGGAGGAGCCAGTGAGGAGAGTTGTGTTGCTGAACTTTGTTCTTACTAACAAGTAAGGGCTGGTTGGGGATGTGAAACCTGTTTAAGTCAGCTGTCCTAACACTGTTCCCTCCTAGCTGCTTAAGGCCTTTTCTGAGAGTGGCCTTGGCTTTGTACAATACTGTGTAGCAGAAATTGTAAATATTGGTATGTTATCAACTTTATTTATCTCCTACAACCAAAACCAGATGTCATACCAGACACTCTGAAGAAAACAATCCAATTCCAGCTGAAACTAAGACATGAAGAAAGGCTGAGAGAGCTGAGACTATTCAGCCTGGAGAAGGTAAGACTGAGAGGAGATCTCATAGCTGAAGAGAAGGTGTCAAAATAGTGGGGCCTGTCTTTTTTTCAGTGCCGTGCAGCAACAAGACAAGGGGAAACAGGTAAAAATCTCAAATGGAAGTTCCATACAAATATGGGGAAGAACTTCTCTACTGTGAGACTTACAGAGCACTGGAACAGGCTGCCCAGAGAGGTCATGGAGTCTCCTTCTCTGGAGGAATTCAAGACCTACTTGGATGCTTTCCTGTGCAACCTGCTGTAGAGAACCTACTAAAGCAGGAGAGTTAGACTTGATGATCCCCAGAGGTCTCTTCAACCCCTATGAATCTGTGATTCTGTGATGTTTACATCCCTTATTTAAAATTCTTCATTCTCTCTGATCTTTTCATAAATGAAGGAACTTGACTTCCTTGGACTGCAGATGTGATTACAAAGAATAGTTATGAAACCTGAACTAACAGAATAACAGAAATAGTGTTATAGAAAATTAATTATATACTAGGCTATAGAATGTATTGAACGTATAACCAGGAAAGAAAACTAAGCCAGCCAGTGTAAAATGTTGGAGCCAGTGAGGTGGTATTTACATTAGTATAAAAATGAATACAGTCTAATGGATAGTACTCTGGATTTCATTTTCTAACACTGAGAATACCTGTTTTTCATCACTCGTAGTAGATTAGATTTTATGCCAGTCCTAAGTTTTTGCACTAACTGTCCTTTTCCCTAACTAGTCTGTCATTTTGTTCATATAGTTTATAAAGTTTTGTTTTTTTGGTGATATGTATATAAGAAGAAAAGTATTGAAGAATGTGTTTTTTATGAATTATCAGTGTTGACCTTTGTAGAGTACGGAACTTCTAGTCTTGATTTCTTTTTCCATTTTTCTTGCCTTGAGTTCTATCAACTAAAATTAAATATGGCTCCTCTGTTTCTTCTTAATTCTCTGACGGTCTGCAAGTTAACATCTTTCCTGCCTCCAGCAGTACATTAATAATACATTTTAAATATCTTTCTGGTAATCCTATTGCTGTTAGCAGTGTACTATGCTGTAATGGAAATGTTGATATAAGCCTATGTGAAGACAATGGGCCTTTTCCTGTGTGTGTGTGTGTGTGTGTGTGTGTGTGTGCGCGCGCCCCTGTGTACACACATGCACATCTCTGCAACACTATGGGACCTGGGGCAGTTCCTGCAGAAAATAGCAGCACCTTCTCAGCTTCAGCATCATTCCTAAAGAACACAGTAGGGCTGTGTTTCACCTCCCTTGTCTGCCTCTTTTGCCGGTAGAGCAGCATAATGATATGTGAGGAAAGACACTGTTACTCATTTTAACTTCTTCCCTCTGGAGACAAGAGGCTGGCTCCCCTGCACTCCATTCATCATTCCTGAAGGCAGGAATGGGCTTCACGCTTCCATAGAAGCCTGGGGCTGGGACTTTTTGTTAGTGGATCCAATCTGTCATCAGGAAATGAATGGCATGCCTTTGCTTTCACTGCAGCTTTACGATAATAACAGTGAAGCACTGGAACAGTTACCTAGAGAGATGGTGAATACCCCATCCCAGGAGACATTCGGGATCAGGCTGGACTGGTATCTGAGCAACTTGATTCAGTTATAGATGATCCTGTTAATTGCAGAGGAGCTGGACTAGATGGCTTTTAAAGGTCCCTTCCAACTCAAATGATTCTATGATTGTAAGAAAAGACGTTTGAGCAAGAGATGAATTAGATAGCTCTACTTGTGGAAATTGTTTTCTAGAATTGAGAATTGTATCTAGTTACCTTGGTGCTACTGAAATCATTCTGTCATGATGTTGTCTGATAATTCATACACTCTGTTTCTTATTAGAATCTTGCAAATTTCAGGTGTAATGGCTGTATGTCTTTCATGGAAATGAAATTTGCCTTGCTTTCGCACCTGTTCTCCAAGTTACAGCATTCTCTCATACTGAAGATTAACACTGTTTATCACCTTTAAGTGCTTCTTAGTTTTCCCTTTTAGGATTGCATATCTCCTCTCTTAATGATAAGCTCTCTCTGGAACAAATAAAACATAAGCATTCATGTAAGGCAACACTGAAATAAGTATGACAACACTGCCCTCTTCCCTATGTGAGAGTTTAGGAACGGGAAGTCAGCTGCAGCTGTGATGGTATGAGAAGAGCAGCAGGAACAGTAGTGATTGAAAAAAATCCACTGTTTCAACCATTAGTCCTTTCCTGGGAGCTGTAAATTTGACTGTTGAGACTTTTAATGTTACCCCATTTCTTTCCTCCTTGGTTCTAGTGCTTTGCTGTCTCTTGCGGCAGGAGCAGGCTTGCCCTAAGAGTTAGTTGCTAGAGTAGAATATTTCAGCATAGAAAACTTCAGCATTACCTATGATGTTGAAAGGCTCCACATGTGTGAATTTTTGGTACTAATTTCTGTCAGAATAGAGTTATTTCTGAAGTCTTTGTCCCATGTTTGCAAAAATCTTATTTTCTGTTAGGAATAACTTAAATGAGGAATACAAAGTCTGGGTAAAGTTTTCTTAGTGTCAGGAGATTTAGAGTCAGTTTCTAAGTGGGATCATGCTGAACTCAGGAACAAGTCTTGCCAATTTTTTAATTAGATATATTATCAAAAATGTTTGTTCTTTCTACCCCTACTTCATAAATGTGCATTTTTCTGGCTAAATGCAATTGCATACCCTGTGTACATAACTGTCTTCTGACCAGCACTCTTCCATCTTATTCTTTGACTTGTGATATGTTTTAAACCAGTGTGTATTTTATGTAAATTTAGTCTCATTTTAATGTTGATATTGTCATTGCTGAATTGCTGTCTGAATTTCTTGGTGTTTTGTAGTGTTTGTAATCTTTCCTAGCAGTATTTTGGAAAGACCAGTGACTTTCATTTGTGCTTACTCTGCTGCTTTCAGTATGAGTCATGAAGATGTTGAGTAGCAACACATTTATCAGTATCAACAATAATCTGTTCCTCAGAGCAGGAGTTATTTTTTTTCAAACCAGCTGCATGGTCTGCTCATTTGTCAAAGGTATTTATTCTTTCTAAAAAGAAAATGCTAGAAATGCAAGTAAACCTTCCTGTTTTAATAGAAATTCAAGTTTCTTACTCTATAAAGATATCAGAGGATGCTGTCAGTAATGTGGAAATAAGATCTTTACAAATGTAGTCTCCAAATAAATCCAGGAAGGTTTATAGAAGAAAAGAATGATGGCTCACCTGGATGTGCTTTTGGAGAACTGAATCCTTCCCACCATTTTCTGCCAAACATTTGGGTGAAGTACTGTTATTTTTGATGGAAGTATGGAGTATTTCATTGACTTCAGTTCAAAGATGTAAGAGGTAGATTTTGAGTATGTATTATAACTGGAACAGGATTCTCTTCTAACTTCTCAGAGCAAAGTGCTTCAAAGTACTCAAATCATCCACTTCATTTGGTGGTACTAACTTCAAAATACAGCCTTTTTTTTGACAGTTTTTTGACAGTTTTGTTTTTGACAATTATTTTAAATTTTGGAGATTAAGAAACTAAAATACATTTCAAAAATGATACTGTTGGCAAATGTTTTTTTCTTTTGTTTGTTTCTCTTTCAGGAAGTATTTTGGGGAAAAAATAGGACTTTATTTTGCGTGGCTGGGCTTATATACAGAATTCCTCATTCCATCTTCAGTCGTTGGGATTATTGTATTTCTTTATGGATGTATAACCATTGAGAGCGACATTCCTAGGTAAGCTTCTCTATGAAAAGATTTTTATTACTTGAAAGTTATGACGGCACTTTTTTTCTATTGTAAGCCTTAATGAGAAGAGTTGCTTTTAATGAGTCTGAAATACAGTGATGCAGATTAACAACACTTTAGGCACTGGAAATACACATCCACTGAGTAGATGATTCATTTGAATGACTAACGTTCATTTGTCTGTTCAGTATTGCAGATTCTGATGTAAAAATGTTTAAGTTCGCAGCATTATTTTAATAACTAAGGATCAAAGCATCAGACTACTTGTAAGTTCTTTTTTATGCCATCCAATTGCTTTCTGTGAATGAATATTTTTGTACTATTGGGAAAGTTCAGAACTCACAGAATTTAATGAAAATACCATCTCTTGGACAGCTTTGTTCATCTTAGTATGTTTGTGGTTTTGTGATGTTGTTGTCAGTATTCCACATCAGAACAGCATGTGAACCAGAGGGAGTTCAAGAGTTAATGTTATGGTTTGCTTTACTGTCTTTTATGGGTATTTTGAATATTTGGGTGGTAGGGGAGGAGCGGCATTCCTGGAGGACTTGGTGCAGAGGAAGATAGGTGGAAGTGCAAAGTGCACCCCAGTGGCTCTCCCCTAGCCCTGCTCAGCTCACAGCAGAAAAGGGCACATGCTCCCCTTGGATTATCATGGGGACTTGTACTTTGGGTGCTCTGATCTTCCTCTCTCTCATTTTGTTTACTTTTTGTTGGATTTAGTAAATCACCATTCCTCCTTAGATCATTGCTGTTGTGTTTCTTCTGTTGGACCCATCTGCTAGCTCTCTGCCTTTTTCCCTCTCCTGGAGTGCATGGCCCACAGCGTGCCTTGCTGTGGGGCCAGGGCCTGCCGGATTGTACAGCAAACTGCTAGTACCCCCTTTTTTTTTTCCTTTGCTCTCTTCCCCAGGCCTATGCCCCTGCTGTCATGGACGTAGATCATGAGAAGGGTTTAGTCAGCCTAGAGAAGATGAGATTGAGGGAGGCCTCATGGCTGTCTGCAGCTTCCTCATGGGAGGAGAGGGGTGACAGATGCTGGTGTCTTCTGTCTGCTGACAGTGTCAAGACATGGAGTTTTCTCAGGAGAAAAAGGTTGCATATTAGAAAAATGTTCTTAATTGAGAGTGTGGTCAGGCACTGGTAGAGGATCCCCAGGACAGTTGTCATGTCATCAACCCTGCTGAAGTTCAAGAAGCTTCTTAAACAGCTCTCTCAGACATAAGGTTTCAGTTCTGAGTGGTCCTGTGTGGGGACTGGGAGTTGGACTCAACAATCCTTTGATTCTTTTCCACTCAGGAATTGTAAGATTCTATGAGTATTCTATGACTGCTTCACAGTCATACACTAATACACTATCTGGGACTCTCTCTTGGTAGAGGCAGCACAATGGCTTAATAGAGCTGTTGGTAACATTTGTTGCGGTAGTTCTTGCGTTCATTCAAATAATTGGCAACTTTAAAAGCAGATCACTGTGCAGTAGAACATTACTGCTGATAGGTAAGGATGAATACATCTAAGTTAGGTTGTATTCCAAATTATGAGCTGTTCTTGTCTGTGGGAGAGCTTGTTGTAACATTAAAAATGAAGTGAGATTTATCTCAAAGATATATCTGCAGTATCCTTTAATGCCTTTCAAAATAGAGCAATATTTTAATTATATGATACAGCTGTTAGCAGTTATGCCATTTGAATTATATAATAGAAAACATACTGATAGTACAGTTTGAATAGCTCTTCTATTTGAAGTAATAGAGAAAGTACTCTCTAATGGTGGTTGATTTAGAAGTAGATCTTATCACAACTTACCAGCTATATCAATGAAAATGCTGCAAGTTTTACCTTAGGTCACAGTCTTGGGTAAGAACACTTAAGGTTTTCATGAGTCAATTCATTTGAGTGAGACCATGCAGGTATGAAGTTATTTCACATATAAACCTTACGAAAAAAATTGAAATCATATTCAGGAGAGTCAGGTAAAGTTTAGTGTATTAAAAAAAAATGGTGACAATGATTTTTAAATTATTTGTAGGTACTGAGGAAATGCATAGTAAATAAGGCTAGAAATTAAAGTGACCTTAAAGAAAATTTTTTTCTATTTGTTAGTCTCTTATGTCATCTTTTCTGGAGGGTAGCTGAACAAATCTTGTAGAGTAAGAAGGCAAAGGAAATACTGCTTAGCAAATGAATGAACAGGGCAGAAGTGAAATACTTGAGTTTTTACAAGATCTACAACTTTTATTTAAATTTGAAAATTAGATTAGCATTCTATACTAGAAAAACAAAGAGCTATTCAGCCAAAGAGCCCTGTAACTGTGGGGAAATTGTGTTGAGGACCCTGAAAAGTGAAAGAACTTCATTTTCTGAAACCACTGTGGACACAATATCTGAATGCCCTTAAAACACATTTGTTTAGGTGCACTTTAAGAACTTAGCCAAAACTTTATGGTAAATGATAGTACAGACCAGAATTTGTGTTAAGCCCTATCTTAGGTGAACACCCACTGCTATTATAAACATCCTTCAAAATAAAATGCAGGATGGAGACAAATCTCAAGGCAAATGAGAAATATAACATCTTTCCTAAAAATGAGACTCTTGGACGGTGTACAATGCCTGTGTCACTTCTACAACAACCTAGTGTGTCTTCCTGGCATACGATATTGTAGATGTTCTGTGTCATGGACATAGATTACAACTAAAATGCTTGTATATTGGACCTGGCTTTTATGTAGAATCATGTGGCCAGTAATATGGACAAAAATGCATAAAGTAATATGATATTTAATGTGGATTTTTGTGCTGTCATATAAAAATTTCTTTTGTCATGGGCAAATGAGATAAGAACCTATAGAATTTCCATTCCAACTACTACAAAATTCTTTTTCTTTAATTCAAATCTGGTCTATGTGTTGTTGTAGGCGTTTACGAGGAGGCAGGCTGTCACGCGATAGGACCTCCCCTGCTCTGTGATAAGAGATGTGACGCACGCTTGGGGGCGTAGATGCACTAGATGCGCATAAATGCATACTTGTTTTCTCATAGGAAACCCCTTGTTCCTCACGTTCCTATGTTCTGCTCAAGGTTCACACCGTCCCCGCTGTGACCCGACCATCTCACCACGTGCACACCAATGTGATGGTAGGCAAAATGGCATTTATTGCAAGCGAAACAGTGACCTATATACTTTACATGCTTCCTACGTCCATGTCCATTTATGCGCATCTAGTGCGTCTACGCCCCCAAGCGTGCATCACATCTCTTATCATAGAGCAGGAGAAGTCCTATCGCATCACAGCCTGCCCATAGACAGATAAAATCATGTAGCTAAATGCAGAGATGGCGAATTCCATTTTGATTGTGTTTTATTTTCTTCTAGTACTATTAATCCCAATCTTTAGTGTAGTCTTCACAAAAGCACTAATAAGGTATATATTGATTTATTAAATTGGACCCTGTTTTTAATTTTCTGTTGGTAAGGTATCAGTATTTTAGTATTACAGAGGTTGGCAATGTGTTGTTAAGAGACACAGAGCTGATGGACTTTTCTTCCCTATTACTGCAAGCCACATACTGAAAATATCTTGTAATAGGTATGAATTGCTTCTTGACATCACTATTGTACAACCCTTTTCTTACTCTAAGAACTCATGCTCTTATCATTCACAGTAAGGAAATGTGTGACCAGCATAATACCTTCACCATGTGCCCTCTCTGTGACAAGTTCTGTGATTACTGGAACCTCAGCTCTGCGTGTTCTACAGCTCGAGCTAGTCACTTATTTGACAATCCTGCCACAGTCTTCTTTTCCATCTTTATGGCTCTCTGGGGTAAGTATGATTTCCAAAGCTTGATTGCTGGACTCTGTCTCTCTCCAGTTTATAGTAGGGAGAGGAGGTTCTTTTAATATATGTATACCCAATGGCAAGATTAAGACATGATGGGTGAAGTGCTAGTCTGATCAATTTAATACAAATCCTAGTTGCTTGGGGATATGGGGAAGGGAAGACAGGTGATAAAACAAAGATGGGGGGGAAAAAGCAAGGAGTCTTTGTAGAAAGCAAGAGAGAGTCACCACTGTGGGTCCAGCATGGTCTGTATTACATTTGTTGATCTCAGTAACTCAGCCAGTCACAGCAAGCAGGCCAGAGGAGGTTCTTCCAAAGAGTTTTTTCCCATCAGGGTCATCTTCCATCAAAGGTTTCTCTGCAAGTTCTTCCCCAAAGTCCTTAGTCTAGTGAGGGTTTTTTATCCCCCATTTCTCTGTGTTTTTTTTCCCTTCTTTTATCTCTGTTAGTGTGATGTACCTGGTCCAATGGATAGTGAAGGCTCCACTCCCTGCTGGCTTGCCATGCACGAGCATTATTGCCTTTTGTAGTTATCACCTCCTCCAAGCTGCCCCCCCAAAAGTCTGCTTGTTTGCTTTTGCTTATCTTGACAATCATAAGCAGAAGTACTGTGGCATAGTGACACCTGCCACTTGCTCCCCTAGATAATTTGCAGTTTTCATTTAGAGCCTTCTCACCAGAAAGGCCTCACGAAGCAAGCTTTGAGACAACAAAAGAAAAACAATTTTGTCTTTCACAGACTTTTCACTGAAATTAAAGCTGATACATGGCAGTAGAACATAGTCTTACACAGAGTAGAATGATATTAGAGTGAGTGTAATGTATATAGCTTTCCAAAGTTGGCAAAGTTTCCTCAGAAGGCAAGTAATAGAATCTCTGTGCTGAAACTGGAAAAGAAATTATTACAATGCATTCTTTAGTCAACAGAAAGGTTTGAAATAAATGAAGAGCAGTTGGGTAGTCCAGGTAGGGAAACTGCATCTTTTTTCCCCTCTATTTCCTTGTTTGATTTCACTTCTAATCTTTGTCATGTTTTCCTTCATTTTCTATTGAAGTGGCAAGTCCTATTAAGCTCTTCTGCATTTGGGACTGGAGTGTATTTGGGTTTTCCCATGGTGTATGCAACTAAAAGCATTTAAGCCCTTCCACTTCCATGTAGGACAACTTAGTGATACAATTTCATCAAAACTTTATTGGATTCTGAGAACAGTTTATTCTTATTTTTGTAATTAGAATATATTATTTATGCAAGCTTGGTATTCTTTAATGGCAAAAATACTCTGCCTCTCTGAGGGGTCAAAACACTTCATAAACAGCAATGTAATACTGTGTCTGGCCTCACCTCAACCACTGTGCTTACATGTGTGTCATTGCTGGTGCTGGTGCTATGCCCTCATTTCACTCTAGATCTTGTTTACTGTGGAAGTTAAAAGTGTAATTGCTACTGTAAAATGATTTAATTTATTCATTTTTACAGAAGGAAATCTTAATTCTTAATATGAAATTGAGCAAACATTAATCTATAACTCCGCAGTGTGCTTTACTCTAACTATTTAAATTTCACAGCTTGTTTTAGAAAAGACTTGGGGTTGAGCATAAACAGCATTGAGGTTCTTAGGAACTTGCAGATAGAATAGACTGCATAATTTAGAAGATTTTGTTTGTCACTTCCTGAAAATCATTCAACAGAATCTTGATAATACGTAATCACTGCTAGAGGGATTACAAATAAGATGAACTTACAGACTTGTGTCTTATGGTCTTCAGCTACCATTTGGAGAGTAGATTGGTAGAAAATGGGCCACAGTTTTCCTGTTGCCATGAAGTGGGTTTGGTTTTCTGCTTATGTAAATTAATGCAAACTTTCTAATTTCAGAAATCCTAGTACGTATTGTAGTGATTATGTCTAGACAAATTTTTTGCAAAGCTAAAAGTAGAACTGTTATTTGACAAACTGGAAAAAAAATCAATGACTAACAGCACCTTACAAAATAATTTTAGGCTATCTAAAATATTTTAAGTTTTCAAAACATAGTTAAAATAACTTTGCGTATCATCTCTTCTATAAAGGGAGACTAGAAACTTAATTGCTGAGCACCTGAATTTACTTCCAGTATACTGACAATCTTTTATTTCTTAAAAAATTAAAGGATTCCAGTGCAGAAATATTTAATCACAGTGAACTGTGGGAATGGATAGTGTTTTGTAAGATTCAGATTGTTTTAATAGCAGTGGAACTCTCCCCACTGTTATCTGAATTTCCATTCTTCTCTGTCTTGGGGAGTTATCTACAAGGTACTCAAAGTGATTTAAATACTGCTGTGATCAAACAACCTCTCTGAAGCAACTGAAAAGAGGAAAAGAACTATAAGAAAATAGAAAACAGTGTCCATACTAGTTATTAATATTATTTTTATATACATGTTTGATATATTCTGGAATAATGTTGCTATAATATTCTGGAAATAGGTATCCACAAGCAAACAGTAAGTGCTATTTCTAATAAGTCCAGAAGTCTGTAAATTACACAGCTAGCCAGGCAAAGGAGTATCTAGAGCATTTATGAGAAGGTCAAGAGACTAAATACAAGATAGCACTACATGATCTGTTAGTTCAAATTAATGAAAAAGGAAAAACAGAGGACTGAACTACTGGCCCATGCTTTGGGCAAAACCCTAAGGTCAAGTGCATACACAGTGTAAAACCATTCAACTATCCCCTAATATATTTCAAATAAAGATTATTTTCATCAATACAGTAATGGGTCATAATATACATATATGTATCAATGACTGATTTCAAGAGCAGGCTACACCTACTTTCTTCTCAAGTTTCTGACTGAAAGACTGTTTGGATAACTAGAGTGTTAATATTAATACTTAGACCTAAGTTTTGTTTCATTATATGCTTTGTGACTCATAATAAATTGAGAGAGATAATGTTCTTGGGGTGGATATTAACAGATCAGGGTTCAGTTCCTGACAAGAACTTTCTAGTGCCTTTGGGCAATCTGTAGAGTCTCTTTTCTGTACTTTACTTGTAAAAAAAAAAAAAAATATATATATATATATATATATATAGTAATTACTGTTTCTGTACTTGTACTGTGTTCTTTCTTTAGAATTGGAATGGAGATCCTTCTTATTTTTAAAGTCCAGAATAATGGGCTTCAAATATCAGATGGTGCTTACAAGAAACACAAACATTTATAATTCCCCTTTTTTTTTTTTTTTAAAGCTACTATGTTCCTTGAGCAGTGGAAGCGTTTACAGATGAGGCTGAGTTACTTCTGGGATCTGACTGGATTGGAGGAAGAAGTAAGTTTCTTCTCCCTGAGCTAATTTACCGCATAAATTATTCTCACTCTGAGGATACTTTCTAATGAATGTTCTTCAGTTCAATGCTAGAACTGGCACAGTTTTGAGTGTCATTGTATCCTTCAGGAAACATTGTATCCTTCAGGAAATAGCCACATATGTACTAGCATTCTAATTCTAACAATCAGTGTTGAAAAGGACTGAAAGATGCCAGCAACTCATTCCTTGTTAAAAATATCATATGCCATTTTATAGAATATGGTATCAGAATGAAGTTAATACCTTGTCACATAGATGCCACTTCATTATGTGTAACAAAACTTATGATATCAATTGTAACATGTTAAGACAACATAAGTAATATTTGCATCTAGGTCTGTCCTCTATCTATGATGCCATTTTAAAAGCATCCTAAGTTTCATATACTCAGGGCTTTTTTAAGCAAGCAATATGTTTGATTACTCAAGAGTATTTTTGAAATGCGTTGCAATAAACTGATAGGTCTTCAAACTGTACCTGAGTTGCTGAAAAGTGAGAGATAATAGTTGATTACTATTTACAACATCCCAAGTACACTTCTAGTTTTATTCTCAGATATTTTGTGTCATAGCGTACTGTCTGCTTAAATTACTGAATGTCATCATTGATTTCAAACTCTGACTAAAAACAGAGGAGCTACTAGCCCTAAATATCCCTTAATATCCTCTAAATACAGTAACTATGCATTTGCATTACATATGCCATACTGATAGATGCTGACATGGCATTGAAATAGTGTCAGATTCATCATCATGCTGCTCAAAATGCAAAGTAGTTTAGAATTGCAGCAATTAGATTCTCTTTTATCACTTCTAGCAAGCTGTGTACCTACAAAGAATAATTTGTTGTTGACTGCTCTCTTTGTTGACTTTAAGAAATGGATTCAAATTCTCCTGTCAGATCAAGGAAGTCCTACAACTCCCATTCCAGGAATCTGATCACATTTTGTTGTGTTCCAGCACAGTTCCTTTAGTATCAGACCAAATACAAAGCTAGAACAGGGTCACTTTCCAGCCCTGTTTCTTAAGCTCAGATGGAAAGTAGAGCTCAAATGAGAAAACTAAGATGTAGTCATGAATCTCTGCTGTAGTATGGTTGTATTTTCCACTGTTGTAGAGTTTTTCAGATAAGAATTATTGGATAAAATGGGAAAAATAACATAGAAGACAATAGACCTTAGTGTTCCTCCTATCACTGTTCCAAAATGAAACCTTCAGCACCATGAAGCCATCATCACTACTTCAGCATGAGAGAGACCTCTGAAGTATTGCTTCTCTTAATTAGATTATTACATCCTGCCCTATTTTGCCTCTGGCTTCTCAACATTTTTACTGCTCCCTATTCAATGATGAAGTGGACGATACTTCCAGGTTTTAAGGTGTGATATAAAGTCAGTACAACAGCAATCAAAAATAATTGCTTGTCCTATGTGGAATGTCATACTATCAGCTGAGAGAACAGCAATCTCGTACTGATTACATTATGAACAGAGGAAGGAGAGCAAATACTTCTTTACTCTGCAGTGTGCTTGATGAACCCTGCAGATTTTACTGAATTTCAAGTTAATCCTTTACACTGCAAAATATTGAGGTTTCACGCAGTCTTTGCAAAATGCTGTGAAAGGATCTATAGATTTGTGAGCCCTGTGATGAAGAGTTCTGAAGTGTTGAAGTTTTGTGTACAGGAATCATGAGATCAGCAAGAATCCTTTGTTTATGACAAATAAAGGAGTTATAGACACATCTCAATAGAAGCTGAAGAATTAGGAGTGCAGAACCATAAAGAAAAGGCTGGAGAGGATTGTGAAGGGCTGTCTCTTGTGTGTGATAGGATCAGTTCTATTTAAATCATTATAAAAAGATGTTTGTCTTATTTGTTCTTAAAAAAAATCTGTAAGTGAAGATTTCACTTTCTCCTTCAGCAGTCTGATAATACTGATCCTAGTTCTTCCCTTACTGCTGATAAGCTTTTCCTAATGTGTAATTTAAACCTACTTACTTGTTCGTTATCACTTGTTCCTTTATGCAAAGATAAAGAGATTACCCCATCCCCAGTGAAATTCAACATATTGTTCTCTCTTTCTTTTATGAACTAGCCTCTGTTTTTTCAGCTTTTTTTCCGTAGTTCTTATTTTCTAGATGTCTTTTTGTTCTGTTCTGGACATTTTCTATCTGATCCTGATCTCTTGTGAGAAGTAATGCTCAAAATGGACATTTGAACTGACATTTAACTTAAACAGGATGTCAAAATATCTTTTTGTCATTCTCTTGGTATAAATGAAGAAATGAAAAAGTTAGATCAGATTTGTTCACCTTTTATCCTTTAAATTAATGGAGATGAAGATAAATTTGTCCCTAAGACAGATGTTGACATTGTTTCATCAGTGTGCTAATCACTTCAGGCAGTGAAGTGTTTACAGATGACTTGATATACTGATAAAAATTGTAGTGAACATGAAAAATCATGTCTGATCAGGCTAGGCTAGAGGGAAGGAACAGGACTCTGAGGAACACTCAGGATCACTTAACAGAGCATGGAGGAAAGGGACAATATGTTCAGGTGTTTTAACAGTTTTAAGACCAGATGGGATTAAGTTATTTGTTATTAAAAGTCTCTTGGTAAAGGGAAGTAATAGAACCAAAACATGAAGACTATGGTGAGAGTTGATGAGTTTAGATGGGCATTGTGGAAAATTATATTGAAATGTGTTCTGTGTAATTTTTGTGGACTCTTGACTACAAAAACTTCAGTAAAATCACTTTCTTTAAACATGATAGGCTGAATCTTTTGCTTCAGAAGAATCACGCAAGAGATTCACTTAGCAATAGCAGTTTGAGGAAGCAGACTCCCCAAGGCTTATATGCATGTATGCATTCTGGTAGCTGTACAGACTTAGAAGATTTGTGATGTTTCTAATCTCAAATCCACATAAATAATAGATGTCATTGAGTATTAGACTGCTAGATGGGTAATTGTCTTGAAAAGCAGTTGAATGATTAATAACTAAATGGGAGAGGAGGAGAAGAAAGACTAGAAACATGAAAACAGAACACATGAATCTTCAAAATACTATGAAAGCACTCAGTGTGAGTACTTACATACTAGATGCGTATCTGAGAAACCCAGTGCAAGTTCTGCATTTATTTGTCTGTTTTTCTGTTTGTGTAATAAAGAATGTAGCTGAGGAAGATGGGTGAGAGAACTCCCTTTTACTTGCAATAGGAAAAGGGTAAGGAAATGCTGAGAAACTCTAATTATATGGAGAATAGAAACTACGGGCTTCCCATGAATCTTTAGAAATTGTATTTCTAGGACCCAGTATGTTCCTGCTTCAGATTCTCTGGGTGGAGAGATTGAACCTTATTTTACTAAGAGTCATTCAGAATGAAAAATTGAATATGATAGATGAAATTTTAGAACCTGGAACAGACTTTGGAATAACAAATGGACAGACAGAAAAGTCCATACTAATTTGAAATGCAAGTGAGAGAAGACATTTGTAAAATCAAAATATTAAGATGTTAAAATTATGAAATAAACATGAGAGTTTGGCTAAGCAGGTTATAATAACAAAAGAGAATATATATAGAATAATAGAATTTAGATAGAATGCTTACCTGCATCCTGGGCTTGCTGCAGAACTCCAGAGGCAAGATTTCCAGAAGAGAGAGTTTCCCACTGGTAGTCAGCTCTTGAATGGGTGTATAAGAGGTGGAGCCAGGCTGACTCATTGCTTGCCTTGTGATCAGAGGTTCCGGCTGTGATTCAGCAGTTCCCATACACTTCACCCCTTCACAGCATGAACCAATGAGCAAGTTCACTAAGGGGGTAAACTTTTCCTAATACAAAGATCTGCTATATCATGATGCTTATGCAATTTCTATCACGGCACACATTAGTACAAGTCAAGATGAATGATGACTGGTGAATGTTCATATTCTTTTATGTGCCAGTGCACGATGATGTTATTGGAGGCATGCAGTTGTGAGGTGCAGGTCAGTACTATGCTCCATTAGTCCCATGTAGACCATCACCAGGTGTTGTATGTGATCCGACAGTAACACTGGAACGCTTTGATGGCATTTTGTTCCTTCCAGTGATCCTGAAGGCTCAAAGACACACGGGAAGTAATACAGATGTTTCAGGGGTATCAGGAGGGGAAGGTCTGCTCTCCAAGACATGATACAGGCTGTATTTCCCGCAAGGTTTCATACAGTCTTTTTGTCCACCCCTGCAGGGACTGGGAATCTATCTTCAGGGCAGCAATAAGAATACCGTTATAACGTTCACTGAGGCCTGCCCCAGTTGGATTATATGGCAGGTGGAATCACCATTCGATGTTATTTTCTTCTGCCCAGCACTGTAGCGTCACACCAGTAAAATGAGTCCCTTGGTTGCTCTAGATGTCTTGAGGGGTCCTGTAGGCAGACATCAATTTAGTGAGTGCCTTGATGGCATATGCCTGGTTTGCTTTTGGCACTGGATAGGCCTGCAGTAGCCCACTTGCAGTTTCGATGCAGGTCAGGGCATATCTCATCCCCTCAGACCGAGGAAGGGGTCCAATGTAGCTGACCTGCCATCATTGGAGAGGATTGTGTCCTCTAGCAAGATGGGCTATTGTTTCTTGTTTCAGAAAATGATCTTGGTCTCATCTTAGAGCAAGGGGCACAATCCCGGCATGCCTGGGTGATGTCAGGTAGCTGTA